AGGCCATCCAAGTGAAAGAAATGCTTTTGCAAATTCAAGACCATGCCTAGGTCAGTATTTCTTAGTCTGGCTGCACATTAGAATCATCTGGGTAAGTTTGGCGGCCCCCCCCCCCCCCCCCCCCCCCCCCCCCCCCGCTGGGTAGGTTCTTAAAAATAACTATGCCTGGCTCTTTTCTGATTAATTGGTCTAAGAGGGGAATTTACATGGTCGTTTTTTTTGGGGGGGGGGGTGTTTGGGTTTTTGAGACAGAATTTCTCAGAGTATGGAGCCCTGGCTATCCTGGAACTCGATCTGTAATCCAGGCTGGCCTCGAACTCAGAGATCCACCTGCCTCTGCCTCCCAAGTGCTGGGATTTAAAGGTGTGTGCCACCGCCACCCAGCTACATGATATATCTTAAGCACTCCATAGATGATTCTAATGTGCAGACATGATTAAGAACCATTATCTGTCGGGTGGTGCTGGTGGTGGTGGCAGCAGCAGCAGCAGCAACAGTAGCAGCAGTGCATGCCTTTAATCCCAGCTCTTGGGAGGCAGAGGCAGGCGGATCTCACTGAGTTCAAGGCCAGAATGGTCTACAAAGAGAGTTCCAGGACATCGAGGACTGTTACACAGAGAAACCATGTCTTGAAAAACAAAAAAGAACCATTATCCTGCTAGGGCTGGAGAGATGGCTCTGAGGTTAAGAGTATTGGCTGCTCTTTCAGAGGTCCTGAGTTCAATTCCCAGCAATCACATGGTGGCTCACAACCATCTGTAATGAGATCGGATGCCCTCTTCTGGTGTGCAGGCATACATGCAAGCAGAACACTGTATACATAATAAATAAATAAATCTTAAAAAAAAAAAAATTTATCCTGTAACAAAAATGACTTGAGCCCATCTCCCATCCACAACCTATTTCTTTTTAGGGTTTTGGGTGGTTGGTTGGTGGCCCATTAACATATGACTGATGCCTATTGTCAAAGTCAATGTTAGATTCCCCAACCCCTGATCTTGAGCCATACTCCAGCTCACATGCCCCTTGTCTACCTTTTAATCCTATGTGCAACTATACAGTATAAAAGGTGTGATTTTTTTTCTCAATTAAATGTTGCTGGCAGCCATCCCAATTCACCCTCAGATCGTGTCTGTCTCCTCCTTCTCCTCCCCAACTCCACAGATCCTCTTTGGGACCCCACCTCCCCATCTACCACCACCACCCACTCCCCACCCCCCACCGAAGCAGGTTTTCAGTAGGACAGGGTCTCACTCTGTAGCTGAGGCTGTCTCAGCTGGCCTCAGATCCATGGCAATCCTCTTGCCTCAGCATCCCTAGTGCTGAGATGACAGGCTTGTTGTACCTCTACCCCACAGCTCCTTTTAGGGTCTTATTCTGTACTGAAAACTATGAAGCAAGCACTCTTCAGCATGCTGACTGGAGCAGGGAGCAGAACTGGTAATTTATTTACATATTATTCAAGTAAAAATAAAATGTCCCACTCCCAAGACCATATTAACCTTGTTTTTGCTCTCCTGATGATCCTCAAAGCATATTTAGGCTCTTATCCACTGAAATGTGTCAGAAGTCCCAGTATTTCAGCAGCCAGCCAACTTCTAAACTGCCTTCTAAGCTTTAGACAGTACAAAAAACTTCTGTCATATAACGTATTTTACAACTTGTTTTTTTATTAATTTATTTATTTTTCTATTATCAGCTTGTACAGTATAAATTCTTATCGTAATAGTGAAATGTTTCACTGAGGCTTGCCCAGTAATTGAGTAAAACCAAAACTTATTATAAGCCACAGTCATCCTAGGGTCCTCCCTGCTATATAGACTCCCTGGTTCTGTGGACAACTTGGTATTTTTTAAAGTGTCACCAAATCTACCCACAGTGTCAACACCTTTTCAAAGGCTATAAAATTTATAATATAAATCATTTTTCTCCCTAATGCTTTCCCAGGTCATCTCAGACCCTACTAATTTCCTTACAGGAATTTACCATCTCTGCCACTTCCTGGCATATGTTCTACTCCCATTCGACCATCAGTCCAATTTAGTACCTGTTTTCCTAAGTACTTTGAGGACAAGTATTTATACTTAAGCAGGTATACAAATACAGTTTTGGAATAGTGTTGTTTTCTGAACAAAGGCTCCCAGTGTTTTGAGATTCCTGCTTCCAGTTCTTTGACCCACCCGTCCTCTCCAACTTAAAACTCCCTTTAATCCCACCAAGAAATTTATCATCCTCCCCACTATTCTCAGAGACTACTGTTGCCTTTTCAATTGAGAGACTACATGTACTACATAAACACAAAAACCCTGCCCTTCTTGACTTTTCTTCAATCGTTGTATTTGTCTCCATCATTCCTTTTAGGAGCTCTCAAAATCTAAATTACATTTCTGTCTCAACAACTTCCACAAACAAGGCTTTCTTGCACACAGCACCCAGCTCCAACCAGTCCCATTCTTTCCCTAGTTTTTCTAAGATGGCGGCCCCGAAGCCAGCAAAGGAAGCTCTCCACCCACATAGGACCATCTGGGCCAGGGAGTGGAGGAGGCGCGGTGGCTAAAAGCAAAGTGGCCAAAGATCCCCTGAGAGGTAGCCTGGATGGCAGGAGGGTGAGCCAAAAGGAGAAGGGATGCAGGCGTGGGCCTCGACGCACTGGGCCAGCGCAAGCCAGTCACAGGAAGTGCGGCCCCGCCCTGACGTCAGGCCAGGCCGGAAGTGGGCGTTGCCGGGGCCTGGCTGTGAAGCGAAGTCGAAGTCGGCGGTGGGGAGAACGTCTGACTGAGGTAGGAAAGAGGAAAGGTGGTATGGTATTGGCTTGGTCAGCCCCTGGAAGCGGTTCACGGTGGGATACCTTCGAGGTAGTGTCCTCCTTACTCCCCAGCCGTAAGCCCTGGTCACCGCCGCACCGGCCATCGTCCCCTCGACGCCGGCCCGGCACCTTTTCTACCTTGTTTTCAGGGTAACCACCTCCCCCTTGCCTGGCCCTTTTTCCCTCTCCTTGTTTGACTTTTCTCGAATCTAGGGACTTTTGTGTAGAGGGAGAGAAATTACTACTTTATCGAGATCTGCGATTTTTTTCAGGGTTCAAATAGTGGCTTCAGATTCTCACTTTTTCCAGTTCACAGCAGCCTAGTACCGAGGAAAAGAAATGGAATCACCTGTTAACAGTTTGATGGGGAAAGTAAGAGACAGCTGGGTGATGTGATGAATTCCAGCGCTCTTGACCTACTTATAGTCAGTGTGTTTTCTGGGAAAGAATAGGTCGCCTGTCTAAGCTGCTGAATACTGCACTCGTCACTCTTATATACCTTAAAATAAAATAAAAAAAAGTAATGCTTGATTCGTCCTTCCAAACCTTTTTTATTTTTAACAAAGTATGACATAATTGTTATAGAGGTTCCAAAAGGTCAAGATAGTTTAATCCAAACATGAAGAATAATTTTCAGATAGTTTCCCTAATGATTGTCATTAACAAGTGGGCTCTGCAGCAAAGTAAACTAGAGTTTAGCTGATCACCTGTATTTCCTAACAAAGGTTCTAATGCTGCTTATGTCATAGAATGGGGAGAAGGGGTGTGGAATTGTGTGAGAGGCCAGAGGAGAGCTTGCCTAGAGACAACAGCTGTATGTGCATCCAATTTTCAGAAGATTCCTATGGGAGTGGTTATATACAAAATTAGTTTTCCCATAATAATAAGTGAATTAAATCAGTGTGTAATAGAGCTCTCCAGTAAAAGAGAATTCAAACAGACGTTTTCTCTTTTAATGTTTTTCATTTCTGTTATAATTGTTCTTTTACATGTTCTCTATGAGTTCTTAAATTCACATGTTCCCTCACTATAGAGAGCGAATCAGTGCTGACCAGAGTAGTACTTATCTTGCCATTGTGTAAGAAATGAGATGGACAGAGTGAAGCATTGCTAGAAAGAGAGAACATTGGTATGACATTTTCTGATCACGTTTAAGAAAAGTCATCAAATAAGATTTATTTTTATTTTACATGTGTTTGTGTGCATTTATGAGTGCACTATGGGCATGCATTGCCCACACAGGCCAAAGAGGGCATTTGATCCCCTAAAACTACACTTGTAAGCTATGTAGGTTCTGGGAACCAAACCCAGATCCTCTTCAAGAGCCCCAGAGCTCTTAACCATTTAGCCATCTCTCTAGCTGGAAAGAAGAACTTTAAAGTAGTTTATCTGGAATTTTAAATAATGGTATTTTATGGCTTCAACTTACCCCCTATTGCTAATGTTAAATAGCATCTGTAGATGTAACCAACCATCTTATTAAATAAGAAACACAGAACCGATTCAGAGAAGAAAGCCAAGAGGTCAGAGCTAAGAGCCTCACCCTTCCTGCTTCATCGATCCTCTTCAGTCAAGAGAGCTCTCCAAGAAAGGGGCCTACTTCCTGTGTGTATATCTTTATATAGTCTAGCTGTTCTGCCTTCTCATTGGTTGTAAACCCAAACACGTGGCTGCCTCGTCACTGCCTGTATGTACAGCCCTCCAGGTCCTCTATGGTATTGAGATTAAAGGCGTGCGCCACCGCCACCACGCACTTGCTATGGCTCTAATAGCTCTGACCCCCAGGCAACTTTATTTATTAACATACAATTAAAATCACATTTCAGTACAAGTAAAATACCACCACAAGCATCAAACTCTAATAGCAGGTGAACAGTGGCAGGTGTTGTAATACCACTTAAAATACTTTGCTATGTTGTCACTTGAATGTAGTTTATGTCAGTAGTCATATTTGACCTGTTTGTGGGCCCTAGAGTTTATTCCAAGAATATGAATTATGTGATGATGCTAAAATTAGTCATAGGAGTAAAGAATGCTTCAAAGAAGAGAGATGTTTGGGGAGGAGGTCGTGTACTAAGGGTTTGTTTTATTGAACTTGGGCAGCCTCAGTTCAAGGAATGACTCTACATTTTAGGGCTACCTTTTGATGCTTCTCACTTCTGATTCTCTGAACCATGTTTTTCCCTCTAGCACTTGAACAGGACTCCTTTGCCATCAGCATGGAAGACACTTACAGTATGTACTACTTGCTGCTTTTAGAAAATAATACATCATTTGTGTGTAGTTTGATGCCTGACTAGACTGTATGTTATGAAAAATTCAGATTTCTCTGTGAAATGCTGAGAAAGAAAGGTCTATGTGGTGTTGAGGTATAGAAATAATTCAAATTTTAGGACTGGAGAGATGGCTCAGTGGTTAAGAGCAGTAGCTACTCTTTCAGAGGACCTGGGTTCAATTCTCAGCACCCGTATGGCAGCTCATAACTGTCTGTAACTCCAGTTGCAGGAGATCACATACATCACACAGACATGCATGCAGGCAAAACACCAATGCACACAAAATGAAAATAAATTCATGTAGCACAAATCTTAAAAGGTCTTATAAAATCAAACCCAGAGCCAGGTATTGGGTTAAAGCTGGAAGATCAGAGAAACAGAACGAGCCACAGCCACCTCACCTTGCCAATTCCTCAGCTGATCCTGTTTTCTCAGACTGGAAGCCTTTGAGTCCTCATCCAAATGGATCTCAGCTGAACTGCTGCTAAAAGCCTAAAAGCTTAACCAGCTCTAGTTCCTGGTCCTCACGCCTTATATACCTTTCTGCTTTCTGCCATTACTTCCTGGGATTAAAGACATGAGTCATCATGCCTGGCTGTTTCCAATGTGGCTTTGAACTCACAGAGATCCAGATGGATCTCTGCCTCTGGAATGCTGGGATTAAAGGCATGTGCTACCACCGCCTAACTTCTATGTTTAATATTATGACTGTTTTGTTCTCTGACCCCCAGATAAGTTTATTGGGGTGCACAATATATCAACCGCAAATCATTTTTTAAAAAATTTTATTAAAAAGAAATATTCAGCCGGGTGGTGGTGGCGCACGCCTTTAATCCCAGCACTCGGAGGCAGAGCCAGGCGGATCTCTGTGAGTTCAAGGCCAGCCTGGTCTCCAAAGTGAGTTCCAGGAAAGGCGCAAAGCTACACAGAGAAACCCTGTCTCGAAAAACCAAAAAAAAAAAAAATATTCAAATTTTAAGAAAGACACTTTAGTCTCCAGCCATATCACCCTGACCAAATGGTCTGAAACAAAACACTTTAAGTAATTAAAGAGCTATGAGAACCAGTTGTAATGGGACACACTGTAATCCCAACTCATAGGAAGCTGAGTCAGGAGGATCATAACTTCTAGGCCAGCATGGGTTTAACAGCAAGATTATCAAAAGACAAACCAGCCGGGCAGTGGTGGCACACGCCTTTAATCCCAGCATTCGGGAGGCAGAGCCAGGCGGATCTCTGTGAGTTCGAGGCCAGCCTGGGCTACCAAGTGAGTTCCAGGAAAAGGCGCAAAGCTACACAGAGAAACCCTGTCTCGAAAAACCAAAAAAAAAAAAAAAAAAAAAGACAAACCAACAGGCCAGTTAGATGGCTCAGCAGTGAAGTGTTTGCCATACAAGCCTGATAGCCTTAGTTTGAGTTCGGAACTCATGTAAAAGTAGGAGAGAAAACTGACTCCATAAAGTTGTCCTCTGATCTACACACATACCATACATACAATAATAAATACAAAATTTTTACAGGACTGAATTGTAGCTCAGTGGTAGAGCATTTGTATAGCATTCTCAAAACCCATAATTTGGTCACCAACACCAAGATGGATGGATGGATGGGTGGGTGGGTGGATGGGTAATGGATGGATAATTCTTTTCGATGTAAAACAGAGCTGACCTAAATTGCCAGACCAAGAAGTAAAGCATATGGTAGTTCTCATTATCAACTTTGACTCATACTCTATATGGGCAGTTATAATTTGTGTGAATCATAGAGTGCTCCATTCTGTCAATTGCTGACATTTGCTAGTGATGGAATGGATTAAATGAAGGAAAACTAATAAGAATTTCATCTGTGAATGCTCCCTGGGTGTTCCGAAGCTTCAGAAATAAGATTGCAGCCTAAGAAGAGCTCAGTTGGCATAATAAGCATGCCAGTCCTCTAGGACTTTTTCCTCCCTGTTCGTTCTGTCCTTCAGATAACCTTTCAGGCTCATTTGCATCATGACCATGGTTAGCAATTTATTCCATGTTTACCACTCTTCCAGTGAAACTGTCTGTTTCAATTCCCCTCTGGTTTCTGATTTTCAATGCAGTCTTCTGGTTTACAAGCTTCTTATCAAAGGTGAATTGTTTATCTTTTATCCTTACCTTCAAGGGGTGGCAAGAGTGTTTTATTAGGTTGCTTTTTGCTCTCAGAATGTACTTAGCCATTTAATTTTGTTTCCTAAACCAGGCTTGTTAAGATTGGGGGCATAGCCAAGGCAGCTTGGATAGCCTAAGGGCAGAGTTTTCTTGACACAGCAGTCCATGTCTACAGTTGTCTTAGCTGTAGGAGACTCTGTCTTTGCAGTATATTGTTATTTTTGCTGGCTGGTTTAGTAGTCATTAGATTAAGGAATTTTTTTTTCTCATCTATGTTCCAAAATATGAAAAGTAAAATTTATCTGACAAAAGTAATGAGATCATGGACAAGAAAACTAGAGCAACCAATACAACATACAGGAGTAAAGCACAGAACAGATTGGGGGAAGCTCTAGTTATCACTACTTCCACAGAACATGCTATTGAAACTCTATGGCTATCAACTTGTTTACTAGAAATAGACAAGGATGCTGATTATCCTCAACTTTCCGTAGGGCCAGCTGGATTGGGAGAGTAGAGTTCCCAAGTGCAGTGGGCCACAATGGTTATTGGTACACCAACAGTACGTTCCACCTTTAGTGGACTATTTGAGAAACCTTGGTTGGAGTAGCTAGAGAATAGAAATGACCCTGAATTGTTACCTTTAAGAAAAGAAAAGGAAGAAAAATACTTTGGATGTCATTTAACATGTCTGTTTTATAATAAGAATGAAAACTATATTCAGTGAAATGTGAATGAGACCTCAGCATGCCATTGTTGGTACTACTGTGCTTAAGAGTCAGTGATAGCACAATTTTATTTTCTCATAGTTACATTTTTTTTATCATTTAGTCACAGTTTGGGGGTTTTTTTGGGTTTTTTTGGGGGGGGTTCATTTGGTTTTGGGTTTTTGTTTGTTTTTGTTTGCTTGTTTTTGTTTTTGTTTTTGTTTTGAGGCAGGGTTTCTCTGTGTAGTCCTGGCTGTCCTAGAACTTACTCTGTAGACCAGCCTGGCCTCAAACTCAGAGATCTGCCTACCTCTGCCTCCTAAGTGCTCTGGGATTAAAGGTGGATGCCACCACTGCCAGGCCAGTCACACTTTATTTTAATCAAAGTTTTCTTTAGACTGCCTTATTCTTTCACTAAGGATTTATTGAAAACATTAGTATACCTAAAAGGCTGCTGTAGTTTTATAGGATCCTATTATACTTTATACTTACTGTATTTATTTTCTCTCTTTCAGTCGACTCTCTGGACCCTGAAAAGTTACTACAGTGCCCCTATGATAAAAATCACCAGATCAGGGCCTGCAGGTTTCCTTATCATCTTATCAAGTGCAGAAAGGTAGGGTATTATTTTCATAAATATGACCTTTCATGCCACCTTGAGTTCTTCTGAAGAGCCCAGCTTTATAGGCAACAAATTGTTTAACATAAATATTTTAAGTGAATGCCAGATTGTTTGGTGATTCTACCTTAAGTTCCAGTATTTACAGATGTCTTATTCTTTGAAGTTTATAAATTTTTTGTCTTTTTTTTTCTTCTATCAACAAAGCATTGTTTATAAACAATGTCTCTAGAATCTTACCCTTTGGAAAACAGAAGAATCACTAATTTTTTTCCTAGTAATGAGAAATCCCTCCTACCTTACAAATTTGATGTGTTCTTTATTCTGATAAGTACTAAGTACCCTATTTTTTTTAATATTTTTAGATTTATGTATATGGGTGTTTTGGTTCTAGGACATATATATGGACACCGTGTGTGTGTGCCTAGTGCCCGTGGAGGTTTGAAGAGAGAGGGTATTGGATCCCTTGGAACTGGAGTTAAAAAGATAGTTCTGAACTACTGTGTGGGTGCTACAAAACAGACCTAGGTCCTCTGAAAACACAAATGTTTTTAACCACTGGGTCTTCTCTAACCCCTCTATTACATTTCTTTCTGACTTCAAGAAAGTATTCCTCCTAAAAGTAACTCTCCAAGTTTCAACATCTTTTTTTATTTTTTTTAATTTATGTGTATGTATGTCTGTCTGTGTAAGTTTATATGAACAATGTGTACACAGAAGCCCACAGAGGCTAGAAGAAGGCATCGGATATCTTGGAACTGGAATTAACAGACAGTTTTGAGCCACCATGTAGGTGCTGGGAACTGTAGTTAGGTCCTCTGCAAGAGTAGTAAATACTGTTAACCAATGAGCCTTCTCTCCAACCCCAAAATCTCTTTTCTTTCTAATTTGTTTTCTCTCTGCTTACTTCTTTATAGACTTAGATAATATAATATACTCTAGTCTTCTGTTAATTAAAAAGTACTAGCCAAGCAGTGGTGGTGCACGACTTTAATCCCAGCACTCGGGAGGCAGAGACAGGTGGATCTCTGTGGGTTTGAGGCCAGCCTGATCTACAAAGCAAGTTCTGGGATATCCAGAGCTGTTACACAGAGAAACCCTGTCTCAAAAAAAAAAAAACAAACAAACAAACAAAAAACCAATAAATAAATAGATACTTTTATAGGGTTGTTAGAATACTGATGTCAGAGCTGGAGAGATGGCTCAGTGGTAAAGAACACTTACTGCTTTTCCAGAGGTCACAAATTCTACCAACTATATCAGGCAGCTCACAACTTCCTGTAATTCCAAATCTAGGGAATCCAGTGCCCTCTTCTGGCTTTCCACAGGCACATGTACTCATGTGCACATATGCACACAAAGACACACCCACATAATTAACAAAGAAAGATCTTGGGGGTTGGAGAGTTGGCTCAGCAGTTGAGAGCACTTGGCTCTTCCAGAGGTCCTGAGTTCAATTCTCAGCAACCACATAACCATGTAATGGGATCAGTGCATGAAGACAGAGAACTCATATACATAAAATACATGAGTAAATCTTAGGGAAAAATGTACTTCAGTGGTTTTTAAAGTAAGATATTTAAAAAAAGTTTTTTAAGATTTTTATTTTTTGTATATAAGTGTTTTGCCTACATATACATATGTGTAACACATGTGTACCTGGTGCCCAAGAAAATTTTGTAAGAAGGCATCAGGTCCCCTGGAACTGAAGTTACATATAGTTGTAAGCTACCATGTGGGTTCTGGGACTAAATCCAGGTCTTCTGCAAGAGCAGTAGTGCCCTTAACCTCTGAGCAATCTCTTCAGCTCCTAATTTTTTTTAAAGAATACCAATATTAGATACAGATACCAAAAAAAAGTTTAGTATTTAATCCAAACTATATATAATTCATATTTAATATTTTTTAAAAAGTATCTAGGGCTGGGGGTGTAGTTTAATTTATAGAATGTTTACCTAACATGTATAAAGCCCTTGGGTTCAATCCCTTGCACCACATAAAACCATGTGTGATTTTTTTCAAGCCTATAATTCCAGCACTAAGGAGGTAGAGGCAGGAGAATCAAAAGTTCAAGGTTACCCTCAACTATATAGCAAGTTGAATTTGCTAGTCTGGGATACATGAGACTGTCTTAAAACAAAGAAGCACACAAACCAACCACACATAGTGGCACACACCTATAATCCAGATGTTGTAATCAGGAAGTTGAGGCAGGAGAATTGCCATGAGGTCAAGGACAGGTAAATTATATAGTGACCTCCTGGGATATATGATAAGACCCGGTTTCAAGGAAAGGTGGTGGCACATGCCTTTAATCCCAGCACTTGGGAGGCAGAGGCAGTCGGATTTCTGAGTTTGAGGACAGCCTGGTCTACAGAGAGAGTTCCAGGACAGCCAAGGCTACACAGAGAAAGCCTGTCTTGAAACACTCCTCCTCTTCCCTGGCAAAAAAAAAAAAAAAAAACCCTGTCTGAAAAAACTAGGTGGAAGATGAAGAAATGATTCAGCAGTTAAGAGCACTTGTTTTTGCAGAAGACTGGGTTTGATTCCCAGCATCCACATAGTGGCTTACAACCATCTGTAACTCCAGTTCCAGGGGATCTGACCCACTCTTCTGATTAAACACACATATGATGCATATACATACACACAGGCAAAACATTCACACGTATAAAATTAAAAAAATATTTAGCTGGGCATGGTGGTTTATGCCTTTAATGCCAGCACTCAGGAGGCAGAGGTAGGCAGAGATAATCTATGAGTTAAAGGTCAGCCTGGCTTATAGAATAAGTGCCAGCCAGGGTAGCCAAAGCTGCATAGAGAGACCAACCAAAAAAAAAAAAGAAGAAGAAGTGGTGGAGGCTGGAGAGATGACCAGCAGTTGAGAGCACCTGTATTGCTCTTTCAGAGCACCCAAGTTCACACTGAGTGGCTCATAACTGCTCCAGGACAACCCAACACCTCATACACATTTAAAATAATTAAATTTAAAAAATTGAAGCTATTTTCCTTAAGTAGGTATAGTGGTGCATGCCTGTAATCCTACCACTTGCCAGGGTAAGACAGGAGGGTTGCCACAAATTCAAGTCCAGTCAGGGCTGTATAGCAAGACCCTGTCTCCAAAAACCTTTGCTTTTAATGACTAACATGCCTTATGTAAGTAATGGAGACTGTGTTTTATTTTTCTTTTCATTTTTTGTGGGGGAAAGGGAACGCAGTACTGGGAATTTAATCTAAGGCCTCACATCAGAGGAGTAAGTGCCCTTACCACTGAGCTGTGTTGCCAGCCTTTAATTTTGAAACAGGACTCACTAAGTTGTCCAAGGTGACCTTGAACTCACAGCCCAGGCAGACTTTGAACTTTCCATCCTCCTACCTTAGACTCCTTATATCTGGTATTATAGGCCTGAGCCACAAACTGCTTTTTTTGTTTGCTTGGAGTTGTTGGGGAAGGAAAGTTTTTTGAAGTAGGACTTTTTGTAGCCAAGGTTGGTCTCAACTCACTAGTTAAGGATAGCCTTTACCTTCAGATCTCCCTACCTCCACCTCCCAAGTGCTGGAATTGAAGGTCTATGCCACTATAGCTGACTCCAGTTTTCTTTGTGTAAGTGTGGTGTATGGAGTATATATGCATATGTGTGCACAAGAGGAAGCTAGAAGAAGGTATAGGGTGCTCCCATCTATCACTCTACCTTATTCCTTTGAGACAGAATCTCTCCCAGAACCTGTAGCTTACTTCTTTTGTCAACTAGGTTGGCAGCCAATAAGTCCCAGCAAGTTACCTACTATCTTTGCTGCCTACCAGCGCTGGCTGCTTTACAGGCATGCAAGACCATGCCCAGTTTATTACTGGGTGCTGTTTTGCTGCTGGGGGGCTAGCCCCCAGCAGCACAGGGCTCAAAGGGAATCCAGAGTCAGCATGTACTAAGACTTTTTTACCTGAGGAGGTTAGAGGGAAAGACACTGACACTCTCTTGATGGTTTCCTTCTTTATTCTTCTTCTTTTTTGTGAGCCACCTTGTGGTTGCTGGGAATTGAACTCGGTACCTCTGGAAGAACAGCCAGTGCTCTTAACCGCTGAGCCATCTCTCCAGCCCCCTCTTTATTCTTCTGTATTCTTCATTCTGTGTGTTCTATATTCTCTTTTCTTATCTGTATTCAGAAATGTCCCTTCTGTCTCTCTAGATGTCTTCTCCTTCTAACTCTCTTGATGTTCTCCTCCTGATTCTCCATTCTTGATGTTTTCCTTCTAACTCATTTCTGATGTTTTCCTTCTAACTCATTTCTGATGTTTTCCTTCTAACCCATTTTAACTCTCTTATTCTTGATGTTTTCCTTTTAACTCATTTTAACTCTATCTTTATTCTTTTCCTTACAGCTTATATACCCCAGCAAAATCTTTCAGGCAATATAAAAATTTACAATGTGGTTACATTCTGTTTTTCAAGTGAATGACTATAATGAATACAAGTAAAAAAACAGCATGTTTTCCATATCCTTTACATGATTAAACATTTTACATATTACAGGTGAAAAATAAATTATCCCAAGAACCCACATACATTCATACCCAAGAAACTTGTTATAGATTAACTGTGTAGGCAAGCAAAGTATTCTTCTTAGCCAGGTCTTTTACTGGCAGGCTGTGTTTTGCAGTTACAAAGAAAGGGCCAATTACTTTATTATCTTGAAAGGTATAATCTTATAAAGAATCTTAAAGAAATCATAAACCTAAACTTTTATACATGAAAAACAGTCAGCTAGCTCTACTTTAAATCTTTAGAGTGCATACCCACTCATCAATAGTTTTTATATATCAGGAGAATGAGGGCAGAAATGGGTATAAGAAATTAATCATCACCTTTGATTATCAACCAGTCCTAGCAAGAAAGGCACATCAGCTAATGATTGATAATTGGGCTGCTTTGTTCTTGTTCCCTGACCTTAAAGAGTTCCTCACTCAACTGTGTGCCTTTCTAAAACTTTAGATTATCTTCTTGGGTTTTTCATCTCAAAGCTATTTGACAAAAACATCTAGTCTAACTTTAAGTTATTTTCAAAGCTTTGTTTCAGCTATGATGACTCCGAAAACTATGAACACATCTTCCAACATTAATGTTAAAAGTATTTAAATTAGCTGGGCTCCTAGGACTAAATTGTTTTTCTTTTTTTTTTTTTTTTTTTTTTTGGTTTTTCGAGACAGGGTTTCTTTGTGTAGCTTTGCGCCTTTCCTGGAACTCACTTGGTAGCCCAGGCTGGCCTCGAACTCACAGAGATCCGCCTGGCTCTGCCTCCCAAGTGCTGGGATTAAAGGTGTGCGCCACCACCGCCCGGCTAAATTGTTTTTCTTAATCATTAACCTAAGCCACAGTCTATACGGCTTCTCAATAGAAACTCATGTGTTGTAGCAGTGTGACACTTCCTTGTTTTATTTTTTATCAAAACTCTATTTAAACTAATATTATCAGCTAGACAGTACAGTTTAGGGAGTAATCATCTTCATAATCACAGGTAAAAATGCCCAGTGGGGGGGCTGGAGAGATGGCTCAGAGGTTAAGAGCACTGACTGCTCTTCCAGAGGTCCTGAGTTCAATTCCCAGCAACCACATGGTGGCTCACAACCACCTGTAATGAGATCTGGTGCCCTCTTCTGGCCTGCAGTCATATATGCTGTATACATAATAAATAAATAAATCTTTAAAAAAAAAAAAAAAAAAATGCCCAGTGGAACGGGGTGTTTCCATGAGATAAACACACTACATTACAGGCAGTGGGGATCTTCCCACACCCATTCCCACCATGCCAGATACCAGAGAAAGACAGCAGAAGCAAACATGTGAAGGCACAGCAGAAGCAAAAGGCATTCCAGGTCTGTGGTCTTGGGGTCTTGCCTATCCGAGATTCACCCATCAGGGGTCGCCTCCTGAACTTGACCCTTGACCTCCTGAACTTGACCTTGAACTTCAATTGCCACCTGCTGCTCCTCTGACATGGCCACCACCAGTGCTGGAATCCAAGTTTCTCATGATTGCTCAATAAGCAGCAATCTTAACCAGTAAGCCATCTCTACAGACCATGCAAATTTCTTAGTCTTGCATTTTTTCCAGCCTGCTTCTCACTAGTTTTACATTTTGAGTTTTGTTTGTGATACATCTTTAAAACTTTTTATTGACAAAAGTTTTTTCATACAATATATTTTGATTATGCTTCCCTTCCCCTGATTCATCTCAGATCCTCCCTACCTCCCTACCCACTCAACTTTATGTTCTTTCTCTTTAAAACAATAACAAAACATTTTAGCATGTATATGTTTATAAGTATGTGTGTGCCACAGTGTGCTTGTGAAAGAAAACAACCTGTGAGAATCAGCCCTCTCCTTCTACCATATAGGTCCTGGATATCAAACTCAGGTTGTCAGACTTGGTGGCAAGCTCCTTGACCCGCTGAGACATCTCATTGCCCTCATTTTTGTTTTTTGTTGTTTTTTTTTTTAATATGTGTGTGAGAGAGAGTACCCACAGAGACCAGTAGAGAGTGTTAAATTCCTTGGAGCTGTAGTTACAAATAATTGTCAGGCCTCTACTTTGGGTACCAGAAAAAAACTCAGAGCCTCTGGAAGGAGAGCAGCACTCTTAATGACCCACTGAGCCATCTCTCTAGACCCTCTTTTTCTTAAATTTCTTAATTGCTGGTACATTTGTCATGACATTTAGGTGATAATAAATCATTTTGGGGGGAGTTTAAAACAAGGTACTAGCCCACAAAGTGCTTATCATTTGGGTTTTTCCTAAGTGAAATAGATGAAATAAAGGTTAAATTGTTCACCAAGTAGTGGTGACATGTGCCTTTTATCTCAGCACTTGGGAGGCAGAGGCAAATGGATTTCTGAGTTCAAGGCCAGCCTGGTCTACAGAGTTCCAGGACAGCCAGGGCTGTACAGAGAAACTCTTTCTCTAAAAACAAACAAAAGAGGTTAAATTGTTCAGGGCCTCATTTCAGGCATCAATACTACAAGTAAGTGTTCCTGTGTTGGTCTGAAAAATCATTAGCTTGTCTCTGAAGCTCCCTATTTCCCAGCACTGTCACATTGCAATAGCAGGGTCCTGCTGCAGTGCAGACTGTGTTTCATTGTTAGTGTTGATCCTGAATGTCAGCTTTCCAAGACACCCAGAGGGCTCCAGCATTGCAGGCTGTGCTGTCTGACAGACGGAGAAGAGATGGCTCATACTGACTGCTTTGCTCTTTATAAGCCACTAAGATCCCAGTATCGGGGGGAGGGTAATCCCTACAGTCATAACCAAAAGGTTTGCATTTTGACGCTACTGAGATAGTAGCTGCAAGGTCTGTATGGGTGATAACTAATTCCCTCTTAGGTTTTTGTGATGAGTTGCCCACCTTGGCTGAGTGTACCCACCACAGCTGAGACATAAAAACTTGCTGAGGAATTACACAGAGCCATTTATAGAAAAAGGCTGAACTAGTTTCCGTGGATTTTATGAGATCTAAAAAATTGATAGATCCCTTAATTTTGATTCCACAGAATCATCCTGATGTTGCAAACAAATTGGCTACTTGTCCCTTCAATGCTCGGCACCAGGTTCCCCGGGCTGAAATCAGTCATCACATCTCAAGCTGTGATGACAAGAGCTGTATTGAGCAGGATGTGGGTAAGTCTGACTAGCTAAAATGTTCCAGTACTGGGGGTTAGCCGGTCAGTTTGTAGTTATGCTAGGCTTTCGCCATTTCAAAGGAACATTTTTCTGCCTTTGAGATGGTTATGTCATTGTAGCAGTGGGTTGTTAGATTCTTATATAGGTCAGACTGTTTTCTACTATTATAATAAATCATCTAAAAATAAAGTTCTTGAGGCTGGAGATAGAGCTCTGTGGGTCGAGCCACTTGGATAAAGCTAGGTTCCAGCTCCTGTGCCAGAAAAATCATAGGCATGGTGGCACTAACCTGTAATCCCCAAACTCAAGAAATGGAGCAGGAGGACCTGAAGGTTAAGGTCATTTTTGAGTTTAAGACTTGGTCTCAATAAATAAATAATCCTGTTATTGCTATAAATATGTTAACGATCTTTGTTTCTGTTTCTTGTTCCTGTCAGCTTCCATCCTATCCATATTTAGAAACAAAGACTCAATAGGCTACCCTGCAGCCTTTAAAGACCTTAAATCCCTTAAACAGAATAACCTAGCTGGTCCTCCCACTCTGCCCTTTTTATGTCAAATCTCTGTTGTCTTGCAGTCAACCAAACCAGGAACCTTGGACAAGAGACTCTGGCTGAGAGCACATGGCAATGCCCTCCTTGTGATGAAGACTGGGATAAAGGTGAAATGCCTCTACATTTTTTTCTTCACATATTTAAATCTCAGATCATTTGCTTAAGACAGAAGGAAGATTGTCTTTTTTACGAGCATACCATGTTGTTTGAATGCCTTATTAATTTTATTGGGCCCCAAAATGAGCACATTTGTATCACTGTGCAGACACATAGAACAGCCTATCCCACTTGATTAGAAGAAGCATTTCTTTACATCTGTTTTCCCCATAAATCCTATTGTACCATCTGTGCGTGATTGTTACTAGGCACAATTACTATTATTTATGGCTCTTAGGTTTTATCCCTCAGTTGTTAAATTCCTGCTTCTGTATTACTTGGACAGGGCACTCAATCAGTTTTTACTTATACCCCTCAAAACCTAGCTGTGTTATTTCCCATCTGACAAATTCAACTAACATGGATTGGTATTTTTTCTAGTAGTATCACAAACTGTTTTGTTTCCTTTGGCAGATTTGTGGGAACAGACCAGCACCCCATTTGTTTGGGGCACAGCCAACTTCTGTGGCAACAACAGGTAAATTAAATGATCTTACTCTCATCACTACCTCCCCAAATCCAAAAATAATAATAATAGAGTCAGGTGCCATGGCACACACCTTTAATCCCAGCATTAGGGAGGCAGAGGCAGGCGGATCTCTGAACTCTAGGCCAGCCTGGTCTACAACATGAGTTCCAGGACAGCAAGAACTATGCAGGGAAACTCTATCTCAAAAAACCAATAGTAATAATAGTAATAATGCAAGCACCATCTTTCCTTGATGAGGATTCATGGTGATAACCTAGTACAAATATTGTTTGGTGAGGGTTTTTCTTTTCTTGCTCTTTTGAGAGAGAGAGAGGGTGTGTGAGGCCAGAAGAAGTTGTCAGAAGTGTGTGTGTGTGTGTGTGTGTGTGTGTGTGTGTGTGTGTGTGTGTGTGTGTGTTCCTTTGATCCTCTGGAGGCCACAAGAGGTTGTCAAACACAGGAGCTGGAGATAGGGGTGGTTGTGATCCACCTGACATGAACGCTGGGAAGCAAGCTACAGCGCCCATAAGAGCAGCAAGTGCTCTTAACTGTTAAGCCTTACTTGTTCTTTGATCCATAAAATCATGGACTTTATATCAGAAATATAATACTACTACTCTGTAGTCTAATAAGAAAAGCAATAGTGCCTGATATTCTTGTATTTTAACTATTTGGGCCTTTCTTCTTTGTTGATATTTTTGCTGGGTTTGCATTGTTTTAAGACTGAAAAAAAAAGTTCTCCAGTTATACTACTTAGACAATTTTAACCCTAGATCACCAATACCCGTGGTAGGGAACAAATCCTGTGGCTTGTGAGAATGCTCAATGAGTGCAAGCATTTGTGACTACGCCTGACACCTGAGTTTGATCTCCAAGACTCACATAGTGAAAGAAGAAGACAGGCTTATGCAAGTTGTTCTTTGACCTCTGCATCCATGCTGTGGTGTGCACATGCATTCACACGCAGAGACACAAACAGGATTTTTTCTAAAAGTTTTTTTCAAAGGAGATTGGAGGGATGACTTCAGGAATTAAGAACACTTGTTGCTCTTTAAAGGACCAGGGTTTAGTCCCTACACCCACACCAGCCAAGCCTACAACTGCTTATAATTCCAGATCCGTGGAATCCACACCCTCTTCTAGGCTCTGTGGACACCCAACACACATATGCACATACACATGTAAATATTTTTTAAGATTTATTTATGTATTTTATGTATATGAGTACCCTGCCATATACATAAACTCTTCTGTCATATACTTATATTCCTGCATGCCAAAGGAGGGGATCAACTTGAATTATAGGTGGTTGTGAGCCACCATGTGGTAGCTGGGAATTGAACTCAGGACCTCTGGAAGAGCAGCCAGTGCTCTTAACCACTGAGCCATCTCTGCTCAGCCCGTAAATATTTTTTAAAATCCTGAAAGTTCTTTGAGATCGGGAAATCCAAAGTATCTAATGAGTAAGAAAGAGACTATATCTCTTATTACTAATACTTTGTATCAATTTAGAAGTGTCAGATTTCTCATTATACCAATATTTTGCCTTAGAAGATCAAGTTTCAAATACAAGTGAGACCATTTCAGGGTTAGAAAATAAAGGAATAAAATGCTATACTTTATTTTTCCCTAAATGCTTAATTTTTTATTTTTAATTATGTGTATGTGGATATGTGCACATGAGTGGATGTGCTCACAGAGGCTGGAGGTGTCAGATCCCCTGGCTACCTAATGTGGATGCTGGGAATCAAATTCAGGTCCTCTGGAAGAGTAAGTAGTACATGCTCTAAACTGTTGAGCCATCTCTCCAGCACTCATAAAATACTTATTTTTTTTATTTCTTAGTTACCGAGGTCAGTTAATAAATACATATTATTTTGAGTCAATAACAAAAACTTAGATTAATTTTATTGGTGGCAACTTTAACTTCAGTTCTTAAGAGATTTATTATAGGAGCTGGAGAGATGGCTCAGTGGTTAAGATAACTGACTGCTTTTTCAGAGGACCCAGGTTCAATTCCCATAACCTACATACTGTCTCCCAACTCTCTGTTACTCCAGCTCCACGGGATTCCCAACACCCTCCACTGCCCTCTGTAGGCACTAGGCACACAAGTGATGCATATGGGCATACATGTAGATAAAACACTCATACACATAAAAATAATTTATGAAGAAATCTGTTGCAGCCGAGCATGGTGGGAAACAGCTTTCATTCCAGCACTGACACTCAGGAGGCAAAGGCCAACAAATCACTGTGCGTTTGATGGCAGCCTGGTAGAGAGTTCCAGCCAGGAATAGACACACCTGTCTTGTTTACAGGGGTGGGATTTTATCACACTACTGACCAGTAGATGTCATTGTGTTTATCTCAATTTCTATAAAATGTAAATGGTTAACTCTTTTGTTATTGTTTTGTTTTGCTTTTCAAGACAGTGATCCTTTATGTAGCCCTGGCTGTCTTGGAACTCAGTTTGTAGACGAGGCTGGCCTCCAACTCAGAGATCTGCCTGCCTCTGCCTCTCAAGTACTGGGATTAAAGGTGTGTGCCACCACACAGTTAATTCCATCATAATGCACATATGAAATAAGGAACATTCCAGAGAAATGGTAATTATCCTAAGTGCAAGAATATTTTGAAAGAACTATGCTTGTGTGGTTATTGTTTTCCCCACTTAAAAACACATTTTGATTGTCTTGTGTGTATGCCTGAAGAATATTGATGATGACATCCAATTATTCTTTTTTCAGTCCTGCAAACAACATAGTTATGGAACATAAGAGTAACCTGGCTTCAGGCATGCGAGTTCCCAAGTCTCTGCCTTATGTTCTGCCATGGAAAAATAGTAAGTGAAACAGAGGTCAAAGTATTCTTACTCTCTTCATTGTGACAAAACAATTGGTTTGATTATTTTGGTATGTCCAGGCTGATGCTGAAAGTAAGTGTGACTGTAAATTTTGTGTTCAAAGCACCTTATTTACTTCACAATACTCCTATGCCTGGTTACAAACAAGAAATTAAAGCTGGGTGTGGTGGTGCATGCCTTTAATCCCAGCGCTCAGGAAGCAGAGGGAAGGAAGTGTGCCACCACTGCCTGGCAAGACTGCTTTCTTTTCCCATGATTCTCAGTGTAATTCAATCATTAATTTTGAATTCTGCTTTAAGATTACTAACCCATATATTCTAGGAATAAGTAATTTGTGTTTATGCCAGGCAGACGTGGTGCACACCTTTAATCCCAACACCTGGGAGTCAGAGTCAGAGGCAGGTGGATCTCTGTGAGTTCAAGACCAGCCTGGTCTATAGAGCAAGTTCCAGGACAGCCAGGACTACACAAAGAAACCCTGTCTCAAAAAAAAAGTAATTTGTGTTAATAAGCACTGAGGGTGGAATGAATTTCAATCGACATGGCATATTTATTTTGAAATGTTTATTCTCGTAGATGGAAATGCACAGTAACTGAACATCTTTCTCAAGTAAGTATTTGTTTCATTCTACTATCTCTTCAGATGGTAGCAAGATTTAACTGGACATAAAGCAATTTGATTACAATTTTCTTTCAGATTATGATACTAAATTAAAGCTTTGTGTGTGTGTGTGTGTGTGTGTGTGTGTGTGTGTGTTACATATGCACATATAGCCTCTATAATGGCTTCACAGGCTAATGAATAGGCATTTACTACTTAAAATTCTATTACCATGCTAAGTTCTTTCCCCTGATGTTAGTATACACTGCTTTTTTTTTTTTACATCAAAGTTGCAATCTAGATCTATCCTGCCTCTTGTAATGGACTGAGATAAATCAAACAGCTATGCTTCACTGCTCTGCAATTTTTTCTCTATACAGTACTGTTTAATTCTCATTTTTTAAAAAAGTCACACTTTTTTTAATGAGTATTTAAAAGTTTTAGATCTCTTAAGAGTCTTATACTGTTGATATTATCTAGTAGTTTAAGTGCAGAACCTCGCAAAAATCTCTATGAGGAGACCAAAATCCTTTACTTTTCCCAGATGAAACCTTTCCTGAAGGCCCTTCTGTGGGCTCGTGGTAGAGCTAAGCTTAGCTGTCTTGCCTGAGGTTGCCCAGCCCTACTACTGGTGGCAGCACTTTAGGAAGGCTGGGACAGGATTCTGTTTCAGCTGTCTTACAGATAATCCTTCAGTATGTATTTATCGAATGAATGAGTGATTGGTCTGTTGCTGTCCAGTCCCCATCTAAACTGAAGCAGATGAATCTGTGGTAGGGTTCATTTTGTACCAGACCTAATGTTTTCCTCTGATAAGTTAGAAAAGCTAGGTGGAAACACCCAGCCAGGCATGGTGTCACACAGCATTCAGAGAGTTAGAGGCAAGAGCGTCTCTTGAGTTCAAGGCCAGACTGATCTATATAGCAAGCTCTAGGGCAGACAGGACTATGTAAAGACCCTATCTCAAAAAAACAAAAATAAATAAATAATAAATAATAAGTTGTTGTTCGAATCTAGATGGTCTTTTAATAAAAATCCCAGAGCCAGATATCAGGGTGAAAGCTAAAAGATCAGAGAAGCAGAACAGCCAGCCACTAGTTCTTACCTCTATGAAATCCTCAGCCAAAAGAGAGTGAGTTCCTGTTTCCTCAGGCCTTTTATACCTTTCTCTGCTCTGCCATATTACTTCCTGGGATTAAAAGAGTGTGTGCTTCCCAAGCAAAGGCATGAGATCTCAAGCGCTGGGATTAAAGGTGTGTGCCACCACTGCCTGGCTCTATGTCTATCTGGTGGCTGGCTCCGTCCTCTGATCCTCAGGCAAGTTTATTAGGGTACACAATATATCACCACAATAAATAAACTCCAGATGTAGTAGAGCACACCTTTAATCCCAGCACTTGGGAGGCAGAGGCAGGCAGATCTATGTAGGTTCAAGGCCAGGTTGGTCTACATTGTGAGTTCCAGGACAGCCAGAGCTACATAGTAAGACCCTGTCTCAGAAAAACAAAAAGTTTTTAAAAAGTGTTAAGAAATAATAATAATAAAAGGAAACACCATTTAGTCATTAGCAATAAGATTTATTAGTTTCTTCTAGCAATTGGCCACTTTTGGTAGGTTCTGACCACTCCCCCAAACAGGATTTCTCTGTTTAGCCCTGGCTAGAATTTGTTCTGTAAACCAGGCTAACCTCAATCTCAAAGATCTGCCTGCCTCTGCCTCCTGAGTGCTAGGATTAAAAGTGTATGCCTCCACTGCCCAGCTTGGTAGGTTCTGACTTTAAATTGTTAAATGTATCTGGAAACCAGAAAATGAAATTTGGCCCCAGAAGAGACAGAGCAGCACTGAGATGTGTCAGAAAGAATACAGTGAACAGACCTGGATAAATGGTGAACTTGGAATTGCTCTCTTATATCTCTCACAAGATGTCTGATGATAATACAGTATATAGCTATCCAGTAAATAAGAAAGGCAACTCTATGAAAACCTAGAAGCTTCTCCTAAGATTAAGACAAGATATTCCCTTCCACTCACCCTACCCCAGACAAGGTCTCTTGATTATGTAACCTTAGCTGTCCTGGAACTAGACCAGGCTGGCCTCCAACTCATAGAAATCCACCTTTCTCTGTCTCCTGAATACTAGGATTAAAGGCAGTGGTATCTGCTGGTACTTGGCTTTTTAACTTCACTGTTATAGTGCTATTACACACTGTTACATGATGAATTTCTTTTTCTGTATAACTCCTTTTTATTTAGGACAGCATCTAGATTATTTAAACCAAGGCTGACCTCAAACTCAAGGTTCTCCTGCCTCATTCAGCCTCTATGTGTGCTGGGATTACAGGTATGCACAAACATATACAGCTTTTTCTTAATCCTCTTAATAAAAAAGAAGCATTATTTATTCAACCTGTTGCAAATTTTTCAAGCTTTTAGTGGAAGGATACAAAAGAAGTAGAAGACATGATTTCCCTTAAGGACCAAGTATGAAAAGCTGGGTGTGATAGCACAACCTGTAATCCCAGTACTTGGGAAGTGAAGATAAGAGGATCCAGAATTTAAGACTAGCCTTGGCTATTTAGTTTAAGGACAACCTAGTTTATATGAAACTCTCTCAAAAAAGGAGAAGTGGAGAGAGGCCAGCAGGTAAAGGTACTTGCTTCCAAGCCTAAGGAACTGAGCTCTATCCCTGGGATAGAAGGAAAGAACCATTTCCCAAAAGTTGTCCTCTAACCACTGTGCAAGTACACACACACACATACACACACACACACACACACACACACACACACACACACACACACACACTAAATTAAAAAAATGTAATTTTTAAATTTTTGTTAGATTTATTCATTTATATTTTGTGAATGTTTTGCCTGCATGTATATATGTCTACCACATGGATGTTTGGTGCCCATGGAGGTCAGAAAAGGGTACCAGATTCCCTAGAAGTTGAGTTACAGATGTTTGTGAACCACCTTGTGAGTGTTGGGAAACAAACCTGGATCCTCTGCAAGAGCATCAAATGCTCTTAACTGCTGAGCCATCTCTCCAGCCCTGAATGAATGTAATTTTTAAGTCTTGGTACATACACATATCAATATTGTTAATTAATGAGTAATAGATAGAGTATTTGAGAGGAAAAATACCAATGTAAGTTAATTAGAATTCTTCAGAATTTTTCAAAGTAGTCAGCTGCCTAGAGAGTCAGTTCTCACTTGTGAAACTGTTGACACAAAAAATGCATATTGATGACTGTGAAGAATGTTTTTAATTCAGTTAGCAAGTTTCCATGTACTCAGAGGTACTAAAGAGGAGAAGATGTCTTGTTATTAACAACAGTGAATTTCTGGAAGATTCCTTTTAAGACAGTTTGAGGGGTTACAGTTGTGTGGACTGTTGTCAGATGTAGTTGGTTCTTCTGTCATTGAAAGGAAGTAAAAACTTTTTTCTCATTTCCTTGCAGATGCCAGATTGTGGAAGACTCTTGCTTTTTCCTGCTACCCAAGGGTTCTTCTTTTTTCTCTTTATCTAATTATAGAACAGTAAATTGTCTGTGACTTTCAAACTGGCAAGTACCTTTTTTTTTAAACTACTGAGACTTTGATTCCTCAATTATTCGATGCTAGAACCTTCTACACATTGCTGAAGTAGACAGCTTGATAGTTTGGTTAAATACCTACTGCCCCAAATAAAAAAAAAATCACTTCCCATTCTAGTTAATGAACATAATGATGTGAAATTATCATACAGGATCCAGCTAGCATAGACAGAAAACTTGGATTAGAAAAAGTAACTCTGGCCGGGCAGTGGTGGCACATGCCTTTAATCCCAGCACTCGGAAGGCAGAGCCAGGTGGATCTCTGTGAGTTCGAGTCCAGCCTGATCTGCAAAACGAGATCCAGGACAGGCACCAAAACTACATGGAGAAACCCCGTCTCGAAAAACAAAAAAAAAGAAAAAGTAAATCTGCATTTGTGTTCTCTGACATATGTAAACCAAATTCTTTTAAAAATTTAAAAAACGGCTTTTCTGAACAATACATCTCTTCATCCAGTGTCTTTGAGATGGCAATAGCTTATGTACAGCTAAACGCCCCATTCTCATTTAGACATTTTGCTGCTTGAATATTTCCAGCTTAGGGTAGATTTTTGCTTTTGTTTTTTATCTCCCTGTGTTCTAGCTAGAAAATGTACTATCAAGCTAGCTGTGGCTTCTATATAAACAAAGGGAGGCTCAAATGGATAACTGTAGAAGGCATAGGCTTTCCACCTGTCAAATTTGATTCAGCTTAGGAATGTAAATATATGAGAGGCCCTGGTCACTGCCTTTGGATGTGTGCCTAGCAATTTAGATTTCTAAATTGCCCAAAGCTCTGGCTATCCTAGTACCTTGTAGGCCCTTAAAAGGACATTTTAAACTCATTTTATTTCTGAAAGTTTTTTGTTTTATTTTGTTTTGTCATTTGATTTTTTTTTCCTTTTTGATGGTGATTATATTTTTTGGGTTTTTTTGGGTTTTGTTGTTGTTGTTGTTGTTGTTGTTGTTGTTTTACTTTTTTCTTGACAGGATCTCAATAGCCTGCCCAGGCTAGCTTCAAACTCAGTATGTAGCTGAGGATGACCTTCATGGTTTGAGAGGCTAGGGATCAAATGTATGCTAGGCAAGCATTATGCTAAGGAGCTACATCCCTACTATCCCCTTTTTTCTCTTTTTAAGACTGTCTCAGCCTGGTCTACAGAGCTAGTTCTAGGAAGCCAGGAATGTTAGTTACACAGAGAAACCCTAACCCAGGTGCAGTAGCTTATATAACCAGCCTTGGCAGGCTGAGGCAGGAAGATTGCCTCCATGTTTGAGGCCAACCTGGGCTACATAGTGAGTTCCAGGACAGCTAAGGTAACACAGAGAAACCCTGTCTTGAAAAATACAAAACCAGAAAAAAAAAGGGGGGGGGATTACAGCAGAAATACACACCACCATCAGCCCCTGTATACTGTTTTGGTTTGATTTGGGTTTTTTGATATAATATCTCAGTGCATGTATCACATCATACATGTGACCCTATCTCAAAAAAAAAAAAAATTTAGTTTTTGGGGATTTTTTTGTTTAGATTTTTATTGATCTGTATGTGTCTATGTGTGTATGCCCCATGTGTGAGGGTACCCAAGGAGGACAGAAAAGAGCATTTGATCCCCTGAAGCTAGAGTTGCAGATAGTTGTAAGCCACCCAGTATAGGTGCTGGGGTCCAGTGGACTCAGGTCCTTGAGAGAGCAGCAACTTCTGTCTCTCTAGCCCCGTAGTTTGCTGTTTTGGAACATCTCCACTCCTTAGAACTTATTTATAAAACACCTGGCCTTCTGAAATGTTCATAGCACTTAATATAGAAGAATGCTTGCATATGTTAATTTAGGTAGCTCACAAAATAGACAGGCTTATTGTTTTGTTTTGGTATGGATAGTCTACATTTTATCTTTTTTGTTTATTTTTGAGATTGTGTATTGTATTTTAATTGCAACATTCTCCCTTCCCTGTCCGCCTTCAAGCTCTCCCATATATGCTTCCCCTCTCTCCTTCAAATTCATGGCCTTTTTTTCGTCAGTTGTTATTGCATACATACATGTATTTGTATATACATAACCTGTTGAGTCCATATAATGTTGCTTGTATGTATGTTTTCAGAGCTGTTTGGCACTAGACAACCAATTGGTGTGTTCTTCACTGAGGACAGCTCTGCTACTCCCAGCTTTATTTAGTTGCCTGTAGTTCTTTGTGTAGGGTTGAGGTCTCCTGGGCTTTTCCCCTGTAGTTTGGCAAGTTCATTGGTGTCCTCTTTGTTCAGCTCATGTTTGTGCAGTCTTGTTTGGTGAGACTTTTCAGATGTAGCTTTGGATATTATTTTCTTTAGCAAACTAATAATTAAAACTACCCTCCTGTCTGGATCACAAGCTTTAACAGACTGCTTACAATTTTGGGGGACCTAAGACTCAATCATCTGGTTTTGTTTGCTGGAAATGTTTGGGGGTCCCCAAAAACTAGTCCAAAGAAGCAGCTCTTCTCTTTACTGCTTGTCGGGAACTGGGGGAAGGCATCTCTGGAACTTCTTGCCTCAGAACATCCTTGTCAGAGGATAATGTGAAGAATGAGAAGGACGTAAACAGTTAAATATTTTGCCTCCTTTCCCATTAAAAACAAGTGTTATGACCAAAAATTAAAAATGGGCCTGGAGAGATGTCTCAGTGGTTAAGAGCACCAACTGTTCTTGCAGAGGACCTGGGTTCAAGTACCAGCACCCACATGGCAACTGTCATCTAGAAATCCAGTCTCGGGAGATATGAGACCCTCTTCTGCCTGCCTGAGGCACTTAATACACATGGTGCACAAACATGCATGCAAAATACCCACATGTATAAAACTTTTTTAATAAAATGTTTTTAAAAATCAGTAGCTGTTCAAAATTATTTGTAAAAGTTAAAGTAGAAGTATTTTAACAATACTTGCCTAAAGAGCTAGGCTCTAGGTTCTGCACTTTGATCTTATGCAGGACTTTCATGCTCTGCTCCAGTCAGAACATTTGCTTTTTCAAAGATTGACTTTCTTTCAAGGGTTCTAAAATTGCCATTGTGATTTGCAAATGTTCTCTCCAGGAATAAACAAGTGTAGATGACAAGTGATGCTTAGCTCTCCTAGTAGCAGTACCTGAGCTGAACAGGGAAAATATTTAAATTTAACTTGAAATAATTCCCTGCAGTACCCTTTCACTTGAGAGGCAGTTGCCGCAGCATCTACCACACTGGCATTCTCAGATCCTTTAGCTGTCTTCCTCATAATTCATACTAAGTTTCATAACAGGTAAAAGCTGAAGGGAGAGCATTTTACTTTTACATTTTGTTTTGTTTTAGAGGCAGAGTCTCATGTAACTAAGACTGGCCTCAAATTCAGTGGTAGCCAGTGATGACCTTCAACTTTTGATCTTCCTCCTGCCTCTACCTCTCAAGTGCTAGAATTATAAATGTGTGTCACCACACCCAGCTACTTCTATCATTCTTTTTGTTTCGGTTTGATTTTTGATTTTTTTTCAAGACTGGGTTTCTCTGTATAGCCCTTGCTGTCTTGGAACTCACCCTATGGACAAGCCTGCCTCTGCCTCCCCAGTGCCGGGATCGAAGGTATGCACCACCACCACTTGGCTGCTTCTACCATTCTTAAGGTAAAGTATGATTATGGCAATGCATAAAGTGTATAGAGGGTACTAAGGATTGAACCCAAGGCTTTGAGAATGCTAGGCAAGCATTCTACCCCGAGGACATCCCAGCCCTATGTAATGCTTGTATATTTCTTTGCTTACTTCTTCTTGGGGGAAGAGTTGATTGGCTGGCTTGTTTTTTTTGTTTGTTTGTTTTTGTTTTTGTTTGTTTCTTCCTTTCTTTTCTTTCTTTCTTTCTTTCTTTCTTTCTTTCTTTCTTTCTTTCTTTCTTTAGTTAGGGACTTCTGTATAAGCCTCAAATTCTCCATCTTCTGCATCAACCTCTCCCAGAATTATAGCAGAAATGTCCACCTACATCTCCTGTATGCTATTTGTTTTGGCTCAGGTTTTAAATAGTACCTTAGTATGTACTGTTACGGAGTTTGTGACCCCTGGGAAAAGACCATAAGCTCAATCCAGTTATGATTAAAAGATTTATTGATTAACTGCTAGCAGAATGAAAAATCTCTGAGCCAAATTTGAGATTGCCATGAAGGAAGGGTATGGATAAGGACTTTTAAAGGAGAAAACCCCATGAAGACCTTCTGTGTCTATGCAAGAAAGTAAAAACTGTTCTGTTCTGCCAAGTTAAGTGATTAAGGCAACTCACAACAATCTTTTGGCATCCTTGTAAGCAGGTTACAGAGTGGGGAAAAAAACAGTTACTCATAGCACAACAAGTAGATAGTAACAGATGTACATTTTTGGGTGGGGGTCACTGAGTCAGGGAACTTATCTTCTTGGGATTGGAGTCAGACAAATGGCTGGTGGGTACCAAGATGGATGTGTAACATAAAAGCTGCTTTAGCCATAACAGTAGCCCAGACCAGCCTGAAAATCTCTATATATTCCAAGCTGGCCTCTAACTTTTTTTTTTTTTGAACCTTTTGTGTCTAGCTCCGGAGTACTGGCCTTCCTGGTATGCATAACCACACCCAGCCCCATACTGAGATCTGACAAACCTGTGTGTGAACAGAATGTTTTCCTTTTACATGGCAGTTCTGCCTGCTCCAACTCTTACATCAGAACAGTACCTTCAGCCCCAACTCTAGAGAACACAAGATTGGTCAGCAGATTTGTGTTTGTATTTACCTTATTTAAAGGCTGTTTTAAACTGGGTATGGTCCACATACCTGCAATCTTAACATTTTGGAGGTAATACAACAGTTTTTTTAAATTTGGTTGAGAGGGCAGGTGAGACAGGATCTCTCTATGTAGCCCTGGCTATCCTGGAACTTGCTATGTAATAAGTTCTTTTAAAATAAAAATAGGGAAGAGCCAGGCGATGGTGGCGCCCACCTTTAATCCCAGCACTCAGGAGGCAGAGGCAAGCAGATCTCTGTGAGTTCGAGGCCAGCCTGGTCTACAGAGCGAGATCCAGGACAGGCACCAAAACTACACAGAAACCCTGTCTTGAAAAGCCAAAGTAAATAAATAAACAATATTAGACACTGCTCTCACAATTTCTGTGGCTTAGGAATTCAGAATCAGCTTAGCTGAGTCATCTTGAGTAGGGAACTTTCCTGTGGTTTTGGTCAGTTTATCCAGAGCAGCAGTTTTCTGATATAGGTAAGAATTTGATGCTAAGGGCTTAGTGTCTAGCAAGTCAGGGTTAGTTGTTGGCAGAAGTGTTCACTTCCTCCCCACATAGGACTCTGCACAGCTGTTCTCAGTGTCTGTCACAACATGCCACCTGATTTCCCCCAGAGTCTGTAAGATGGAAGCTGTAATTGTTTTATGACCTCAGCCTTAGAAATCACCCGCCTTCATCTCACAATATGCTTTTGGTTATGCTCCAGCCTTTTTCCTTATAGTAGGAGACTTCATAGTACAAACACTAGGAGATGAGATTAATCAGGGGCCTTAGTTGAAGGCAAGCTACCACTCAGCTTCTCAAAACCTGTAATACTTTCATAAGTTATTCTCCACCCTTTCTTAACTTAGCTACAAAAATGATAGATTCATCTACTCTTTAAAAAAAAACAGACTGGGCATGGTGGTGCATGCCTTTAATCCCAGCAATTGGGAGGCAGAGACAGGCAGATCTCTGAGTTTAAGGCCAGCCTGATCTACATACAGAGTTCTAGACCAGCCAGAGCTACATAGAGAGAGCCTGTCTAGAAAAAGCAAAAAGAGGGGCTGGAGAGATGGCTCAGGGGTTAAGAGCACTGGCTGTTCTTCCAGAGGTCCTGAGTTCAATTCCCAGCAACCACATGGTGGCTCACAACCATCTGTAATGAGATCTGGTGCCCTCTTCTGGCCTGCAAGCATGTATGTAGGCAGAACACTGTATACATAATAAATAAATAAATCTTTAAAAAAAAAAAGAAAAAGAAGAAAAGAGAAACCTCATTTCACTTTCAAACAGAGTTTGATTGCAGAGAACAGAATCTGTTATAGCCAGTGTAACCAATAAAGTACTTGTTAAGGAAGCTATACAGGGCACAGAAGACTAAAACAAATTCTAGACTTGTACAGATTCTTTGTAAAGATTATGAAGGGACCTGCCACTACTTCTCTGCATTTAGGATGCTGCTCCTACAGCTGCCAGATACATTGCAGCCAGTGTCTGCTGAGCCATCTTGCTGACTTTTTTAAGATTTTCGGGAGGCAGAGCCAGGTGGATCTCTGTGAGTTCGAGGCCAGCCTGGTCTCCAAAGCGAGTACCAGGAAAGGCGCAAAGCTACACAGAGAAACCCTGTCTCGAAAAACCAAAAAAAAAAAAAAAAAGATTTATTTATGTTTATTATATACATGAAAGTTTGCCTGAATGTATGTCTGTACACCATATGTGTACCCCAAATGTGTGCCCTGTCCGAGCCACTGCTGGCTTCTGATTGACAGCTTGATTCCGATGTTTAAAGGTGTTAGCTAAGAGCTGAAGATGCAGCTCAGGGGTAGAGCACTCCCTGGAGTGTGTGAGGAACTGAGTTTAATCCCTAGCAACACAAAAATTAACTAACTGGCTACAAGGAAATAGGACAACCATTGTCTCTGGTTTTCCAGCCTCTTCACACTGAAGAGGGAATGTGTGTGCTGAGCAAAGCAATACATAGAACCTACCACCTAGCTCTCAAGCAGTTGCTCATTTACCCTACAGAAGAGCTTAACTGGACTGGAAGAATTGTTTGTCTACACTTATGTTTTCTAAGTTTTATTACACGTATTTATTGTGTGGGAGAGGGTGACATGGAGGTCAAAGGGGAACTTGGCTAGAGTCTTTTCCTTCTACCTAGGGTCCTGGGGATCTAACTCTGGTTACCTGCTGAGCCATCTTGCTGACTTTTTAAAGATTTATTTATATTTATTATGTACATGAAAGTTTGCCTGCATGTATGTATGTACACCATATGCAGGTATGGAGTCCCTAAGAGGGAATCAGAATCCCCTGGAACTGGAGTTACAAATGGTTTGGTTTTTTGAGATAGGGTTTCTCTATGTAGCCTTGGCTATCCTGGAACTCCCTCTGTAGACCAGGCTGGCCTTGAACTCAGAGATCTGAGTTCCACCTCCCAAGTGCTGGATTTAAAGGCATGCACCACCCTAAAAGGGCTCAAAGGGTGCTCTTAATAGCTGAGCCATCTCCCCAGCCCATGGCCCTTCTTTAAAGTGCCATTTATATTTGTGTCCAGCAGTCTATTCCTACTCCTGCAGT